CAGTCATGGCTATATATTCCATTCAGCGACAATCATGATGATGACCCGGAGATGGGGCAGACGGGGGAGTGGGGGGTTGGTGAAACATTTATGAGTTCATGCAACATAATGCTAAATATTCAAAGAGCCAATGTATGGGCGGGGCAATGTCCATTCACAGGAGGCACAGGCCTGGCACTGCGGAACTACAATTTGCGGCTCATGAATTTCTGCCATCAGAGTGGTGGCCACGGGTCCACTTTCCCTCGGAGCCACTTCAAACAATGGCAACCGCAATTTATGCCACGCAATTTGTAGAACGCTACACTGGGAAAGTCCATTTAGAAATAATACAAAATATATAGAGATTTGGAAGGGAAATGCATTAAAGCAGAGGGGAATGACTTTAGTACTTACTTAGTTACTTACTTGATTTATTTCAATTTAATAGTAGTCTTGCTGGAAATGGTATAATTTGCTACCCTTAAAGATTATAATGGTTTATGTTTGTTTTATTGGTTTTATAAAGCTGAAATTTAGCATATAAATTATGTTGTTAAATTTAGATTTAAATTACAATATATTCCATAATTTATTCTTTCAAATAAAGCTAGGAACATGGGAAAAACATTATAATATTCTATAAACTATTTATGGAGTTTCAGAACTCTTATTTGACTGTATTTTTTGGCATGTATTCTTTCCTTTCCCTATTTAATACGCGAAACATCAAGTTTTTCGATTTGCAAAACTATTTGTATTAGTTTTTGGTTATACTATTGTTTTATGGCTCACTTGCTGAAATCAACAGAAGTGAAATTGCTTCTACACAATACCCTTATTGATGTACATTCATCAGATTGGTAAATATATACATATACATCTTTGCACATTTAAGTGCATTATGTCTGTGTGCAAAGGAACATTTGCTTGTTTATCTGTTGAAAATATATATTTAAGTCCGAATCGATTTGGTTTGTCTGGAGGAGGAAGGGCGAAAGGATTTGGCCGCCTTGGTCAACCCCTATCAACAAGTCTCTGGTCGTAAGGCTCTTGAGCCACAAAATCCTTTTGGCTTGGGGTTTGTCTTCAAGGAGGTAGCAGTGTTAAAGGGTCTGATATGTGTTTTTGGGGTGAAAATTTAGAGCAGGAGTTGCAATCATCATTCGAGACATCAACGTAGTCGTTTCTATGCAAATATCACGTCATGAAGGGTGACAAAAGTCTCATTGCTAAATAGGGTAGCAGAACAATCTGTACACTTCTTACACTGCTTACAAATCTTCTCTTAATTTAAAGAATTTTATGTAATTCTGAAATTTAATATACCGACTAATAATAATTTTATCCGAACGTACCTTTCCTAGCTAATTGAAACGAAATGCGTTTTGATTACATACCAATTTGCATTTAAGGCTGTTCGGTTTAATATCAGTATCACGTGATATATTTAATTGGACTGTACACATGCGAATCAGTCATAATTTGGGTCGCAAACTTAACCCCCAGCTAATGGTCAAATATTGGGGTCATGTCGCTGGAGTCTTAAATAAATTTACTATGGCTATTGGCCTTAGTAAGAGCAATGCCGTTTGGCATAATAATATTATTATGCGTCGCGGACTGAAACAAACGAAGCAAATGTCTAATTAGATTTTGTTTGTCAACCAAGGACAAGGGTAATTTGGATAAGAATGGGACTTAAATTAAGCATTCCATATAATTCGGACATGGAATATCAATTGTGGAGGAAAATAATGCTATTATTCTACATTTCCAAGTGCCCAGCCTTAATATTCCCATGAAGTTAGTTGCCTCAAAGTAAAGTAGTTCACTCAAAAAGCCATATTCTGCACCTAGGGACTTTCACTCCCATGCAGACTCTCACATAAACAAAAGGGGGGAAAACAAAAACTATTTGCTAGATGAAAACTTTCCCCAACAATGGTCAATGTGTCCCTCGAATCCCCAAAGTGAGTTCGTAGGGGCGGAAGGAAAATCAGTTTTCCCTATTTACTTGAGCTCGACTTTCCATTTGTTTTCGCCTCACGATTGCACAACTTTTGGTTTTTCTTTCCTGGGTCTCGAATGCTGAATTTTTTCTTATATATTTTTTTTTGTGTTCCTAAAGGTCCTGTGCTCTTCACGGCTTGTTTATTTTTGCTTACACTTATCAAAATATTGGACGTACACATATTGTTTTGCCGGGCTGTCTGCATCCAGCATAAAGATATCGGAGTTGGGTCAACTGGAGAGTTTGAGACCCTGACCCAGAGATCCCCAAAAGGACTCCTCTCCCAACCCTGTTTGTCATCGGCCAACACAAAAACAAAAAGGAAAGTGGGGAGGAGTGGGAAAGAGTGGAAAATCTGTTGGGAAAATAGGCGAAGATGAGATGCTCTTGGAGGAAGAACAACAGTTTTATGTTTATATTTTCTTGAACAAACAAATCAACGAAAAATGCCAATCCCCCAAAGGCTTTCTTTTCCGATTAAACGATTCCAGTTTTTCAGAGATAAAGCTATATCTTGAAGACTTAAAATCGGACGTGGAATATTTCAGAGGGTTTTTTTTTATATATTATTTACAGTTGATTATAAGAATTTCTTTAAGATTTTAATCTCTAGAATAATTACTAGTAATTATTAGAGCTAAATGCAAATTAGTTTGGATGCTTATTAAAAATGGGCTTAATGAATTTATTTGTCTATAAATGTGTACAGAAATAGAAAAAATTAATGCATTAAATATTTAATTAATAATTTGAATTGTTAGTTACTGTATTACTAACTTTTTTAATTGTTAAGAATATACTTTTTCCAAATATATAAAACCCACTTGATAAGAGATAAAGCGATACACAAAAATTATCGTGCATGCCACCCACATTCTGTTAAATTTTTCTGAGCTTGCGAATGCCGTAACTTTCACTCTGTTGTCCGGGTTCAACGCCATTCGCATTTCCACACATTTCCCATGCCCCCACCCACAGGAGGAACGACCTTCCTCCTCCCATCTTATAGATACCCCATTTTATTTGCTCAGTTTGCCGCTGCTTAAGTTACTTTTGCTTTACGCTTGAATTTCTTTTTCTTGCCGCTTTCTTAGCCTTTTTTGTGCCTTTTGCCTTTTCCCGCTCGCTGAATTTTCCGTTTTTCCTTAGCTCAGCAGCTCATTTGGTGGGTGTGTGTGTATATGTGTGCGTGGTCCTGTGATTTCTGGTTTTTGTTTTGTTCTTATTTCTTTTTTTGTTTCTGTATTTCGCTCCGTTCGTGTGTTATTTTCATAAATAAATTTGCATGTCAAATGACATTGTTTATGGTATTCCTATATGAAAGACATATATCACTTGGCCAGATGGAATTGTTGGGCCTTCATCTGGGCGATGTCTGTCTGTCTGTCTGTGTGCGTACGAGTATCACACGTTGTTGACATCTTTGTTAAAATATGTTTACAAGCTGAAATTAGCAACAGAGAGAGAATGAGAGTTTTCCATCCATGATGCGGATGGGATCTGTGTCCTCATCCTGTGTCTCCGTTTCTTCGACTTCGACTTCGACTTTGTCTGTCTGGCTGTCAGAGTTGACAAGCGAAATGAATTCGTAATTGAGTTTCCCGATATGTTTTCCATGGGTACCAACTCTGAAGCAGCCGCTCATATTCAATTTGAATAAGACATTAGCAACTTTGACTTTGAGAGCTGAGACTGAGGCGTTTTTCCATTCATTACATGCAGAGAAAAAATATTAAAAATAATACAAAGGGGGGCAATGGAACGCTCACAATTTTAAAGAATTACTTAAAAGATTAAAATTCTTTTAAACAAGAAACAAAGCTTTGAAGAATAATGTATATTCTCAGAGTTTAAATAAAGGAAAGAACAAAATAATCTGTTATAGATTTGGTAATCCTTTATGATACATTTTAAGATTTATTTTATTTTATTATAATTTTTTTTAAGACTAGTAGTGCTGTGAAACCCTATAAATCATATATGTTCTTGATCAGCATCAACAGCCGAGTTGATCTAGAGATTTTAAGCAACAAATAAAAGTTCAAAAGTTCTTCAAAATGTTACAAATTTCAAAAATTAGGAAAAATTCAATTGATTTTGAAGTAATAAATTGAAGTGGGAGATTTATTAAACTAATGAAAACTAACATATTTAACGAATAATAATGATGATAATAATGAGTTTTTTTAAACTTTCATTGGCCGAAAAAATGGTCATAAAAATATCGATAAATATCGGATCAAAAAATCCGAATCTTAAGCTCATTTAAGATCGATTTCCGATTTAATCTTATAATTAGATTGCAAAAAGCAAGGGTATCTCAACTTTAGCTTCCCTGAGCTAGTTTTTTTTCTTGTTATCTTTTAAATTAATTATTAAATATTCTTCTTTTGTTTTCTCTGCATTTCTGCAATTGAAATTCTCAGCGTTACTCAATTCTTCAGAGGCGCCTTTCTGGCGGCGGTTTCACTCATCCGGCCCAAAGTTTTCGCTTGGGCCGTAATTATTTCAACATTCTTATCGACGCAGCGCAACCAAACAACCATAATTATTGAGGATAAGTCAAGCGCAGCACATTTGTTGCCTCTTTACTAGGGATTCCCCCCAATAAAAATGCCATCCTGATTAGCGTGCTCAGCATGTGCCGTGAACTTGTCTTATCTCTTTTGGCTTGGCTTAGGCCTACCATCCGAAAAGAAAACTGAAGAAGAAAATTTATAATGTATCGTTGAGCTAACAAAGGGATTGCTCATACGCCCCGTAATCCAAACTAAGAGTGGCATCAAGGGCAAAAAGGGAGGCGTAGGGAAAGAGAAATTATGTCACAGCTTACTGGAATTTTGTTGAATACTTGCAAAACAGGGAATGAGGATGAACGAGATGACAGATACAAATAAGAGTGGGTTTATTTAAAATTATGGCCTTAATAGGAATTTAAAGAGACTAAAATCCATAAATTTAATCAAAGTTTTTCTGTTTATATGTTTTTTATACGAATCTCTTAAAGTAATTTTATTTCAGTAGGACATTCGAAACATATTTTAGAGTTTAATAGATTCTTTGGGGTATTCCCATGGATGATTTTATATGAAGTGAGCGTACATTCTGCCAGTTCTCCTTCAGCAGGGATACCAGAAAGTTTATTGAAATGTTTAAATTTTGTGTTAGTTCTGTAACTTTCATGCCAATGTGTCCAACATTTACCGACAAACACTCAATATTCTTCATTTGTGGCTTTTTGGTGGCCAGTATCCTGATTTTGGTCATCATCGATTCCTTGTGGGACAGAGGAGTGAGAAATTTTCCTGCTTTAGTTAGTCCTGAACCCAGTAAGATTGGAATCTGCTTGATCAGTGACTCGGAGGCCAAAAAGGCATGGAAATTTCTGGCCATTTTCTTTACCAACTTTGGGTATTTGTTGATCTTTTTGAGGTCATCCACATCGAGACATTGAATACCCAAAGTTTTGGCCTCATCGCAATGCTGTTGATCACCGAAAATGCAAACCTTTAGCTGAGGCACTGCTATGTGATTTAAGAGAACACTTCCATGAAAACACTTTTCTTTGTTGAGATTGTAGTTTTTGAGGCCTATCTGCAATTCAACGACTTCAAGACAGTTGCGTTCATTATCCTGAGAGTCCTGTATAATGTATTCAACTGCATTGTAAAGCGTGTCAAGCGATACTTTTGATGACATATTTATTTCTAGTTCTTAAGGGAAATCTATTACTTGAATTTGGGGGAATTGAATTGAACTTTAAAACATGTATTTGACAGATAAACCATGGGTAAATGAATAAAAATAAAATAAAATTTGGTAATTGGAATAAACCATGGGTAAATGAATAAAAATAAATGGAATAGAAAGAGCTTACTTTAACAACATTCCTCTTGCAGTTTTGTATTAATTTTTGAATTGAAAACACTTTTTATCTTATTCCGAATAAGTTTATACCTCCAGCCACAAGTCTGCAAACTTTCCCCTTTTGTTTGATAAAATATTCAAATTAAAATCAGCTTATTTACACATATACAAAAAACCTAATCAATTAATTATTAAAATAATATAAGAGCAAAATAAATGGATATGAATTTAATTACTGAATGCCATTTATGTATGAATTAAGCTAACCAGCATTTCTCCTAATTGTCGTGATAATTTAGTTATCTGCAAGGTCTTTGGTTACTTTTCAGACCAAAAGTAAATATAATACTCAGTGTAATAATTCTATAAATTAAATTACTGTGAAAATTAGGGAAATCCCATTTCTCTTAGCTGTTCTTATGCCATTTGTGGTCCCAGGTTGTGCATAATTGATTGGCCTAAACTGCAAAACGTTTGCCATTGGCTTCGACTCGCCGCTGGCCAAATTCGAAATTTCAAAATGCCACACGACAGATGCCACATTTCCGTGAAAATTTAGCAGCTCAGCGGGTTAAGTTCAATTCAGATCAACTTGGGTCAACGGTCGTCCCCTTGGCTCGGTTCACTTCCGTCGAGTTTTGTGCTAATTAGGGAAAGTGTTGCCGCCAGGTTTTTAGTGCAGCGTTGACAACATTGCAATGCTGTAGTCCTGTAGTCCTGCAGTCATGTCGTCCTTTTTCGGCCTGCAGTCCTGTTGGTCTGGCAATTTGCAACAGCAACTGAAACTGCAGACTTGGCTTGTGCGTAATTATAAACGAAATTATAAGCTGCGGCCGTGCAACGGAGATTAAAGTGGAAATTGCAATTGCTGCCTGCCGTCTGCCATGATCAAGATCCTTGTAATGTCAGGATATGGCCTGGACATCATGGCGGCAATGAGGATTTGTTGCCTGCCAGTGCTAATTTACACATTTTGATTGCGGCCAACTGGCAGCGGAATGGAAATGGGATAACAGGGGAGAGAGGGAGAGGACTCACCTTGCCACTGCCAACAATCCACACTCAGTCGCGTTGTCGTCTTCACTGATAACATTATGCGGCATTTTTCTACAGCTTAATGCATAATTTGCGTCCTGGGAATAACGACAGCCAGCAGCACAAGGACACTGAAAGAACTTGGAGCTTATAAAGCTTGAATGTATGTCATAAAATCAAAGGAAAACCTAGGCCTGATTGCTACATTTCTGTATTTTTTTTCTCCGTGCATCAGTTTCCCGAGCAGTAGCAGCTTTTCCGGGGTGGCGATGGGTGAGTGCTTTGGAAGTACTTACTGCCGTAAGATTATTTCACGTTGAGCCGCTTATTGGGCGGCATTTTTAGGATCCGTCTCTGGCAGAGAGCCCATTTCATCGGTCCTGGTTTTTGCCTCGAACTCGGTGTTTATCAAGATGCTACTATTGCCCGGGTTCCAATTGAATTGCCACCAAAGTAGGTGCATTTAAGCTAGGGAAAAGCTCTGCCTTGGCAGTGAGTTAAGATTTTCCTGGTACCATTAAAGAACCTATAGAAGATAAGGTGCAAAGATTCTTAAGCAACTTTAATGGAAAGTTAGGAGTCGACATATGAGTGGGAATTAGATCTAGGGATTTTTCTCAGGGATTTTATATTATATCATATTTTATTTTATAGTTTTTGCTACTTTTAGTTATCTGTATATATTGTTTATTATTAAAAAACTTGAACACATTGTGGTTAGAATGCTTTTTCCCCACAAAATGACAAATTTTATGAAGTGCCAAACTTTATGAAATATCCCACGTCCGATGCTTTACCCCGATAAACTGTTTGGAAACAAAAATGTTCTCCCCTTTTTTCTCCGAAAAAACCCAACTCCCATTTGCCATAAGCTGTAAAGGACCCTCCCCCAAGAAGCCATCGCACACAACTCAATACAAACATCAAATGTCCTCGGCACTCGATCTGTAAATGCTGAAACGTTCAATGACTGTCCAGGCACCATATCGTTTCAGATATATATACATATATATATTGTATATATATCGAAGACATTGCCAAAGTTTTTCGCATTTTTGCACTTTCAGGCCAAACCTTTTTCTAATAGCAAATGTCAATTTATTTGGATGTGGAGGCGAAGTAGAAAAAAAACTAATAAGCAAATACTTGGCATAATTTTGTCCACACAGCCAGGACTTCAATGTGCCAAGGGACTCGGTCTTGGGCTCGGACCACTGACGTAATCAAATCGGCAATCAGTAAGAGATATATATGCGCATCAATGTGCCCGGGGGTTGGGTCCACTCTCCCACATCCTTCCTATATCCTTTTCCCCACATCCCACCATCCCTCTGGTCATGACAAATATTTTCAACTGAGAAAGGAACTCGTTGGGCGGCCTGGCCTGCAGCTGAATCGTTTTTTGAACTGTCCCTAACAGTGCGTAAATTGCCATTTTGAAATACATTTCAATCCAAACGTATACATATGTATATTCCCAGATTTTGTTCCAGGGGGACAACAAAAGTTTAAATACTCTTTGCCGGGGCAATTTGGTGAAACTGTTGAAACGGTTTATAAATGTTTTGCATTGCAAATCGATAAAGGGAATTAGTTTTATGGCAGTTGAACTGGACCATAAACAGGATTTTCGGATTTCTGATATCGGAATGCAATTGTATTTTGAATGAAAAAAAAAACAAAGAAAATATTTATAGTTTTTTTTTAAGAATAAATTAGTTGAATTTTACTTTATTTCCCTGAGGCCTTATTAACACTTATATACTATTTATACTTGAACTTTTCTATAATTTCGTTACCAATTTATGAAAAAATCTTTATGATTATGCCTAGAATTTACTTTATGACTGTCGCTGCTGTTCGTGGGCGATTTTTATTGCTTTTGATGCCTGACCTTTGGCCCCTTGTCAATCGATTGCTTCGACTGTTGTTCGCACTGTTCTCCCATTGCGCATACGCCCCGTGGACCCTTTTTGCGATGAAATGGGAGTGCCAAGCAAAACCTTCAATTGTCAATGGTCTGACGGCCTGTGTCACGCGTTTTTGTTTTGTTTTGCTGCCACTGCCGTTGTCCTACGTTATTGCTCTGTCATTTTATCGTCAGCGGAGACTGTCTTTGATCTCGGCACGCGCCTAGAACTATGCAAAGCATTTTTGCCCCCCAAAACCTGCAACCTTTTCGCACGCACGTGCATGAAATGTCAGTGGTGTTTTTCACACCAACACCAACATACATGTGGGGGTGGTGTGTGCTCCCAGGAAAATGTAGCATACTTTCGGACCACTAAATACCAGAGTTGCCAACGGGCGGTCCTTTCCGGAAATGATAATGAAATTTTATCGAAATTTTATAGTTTTTTTCTGCCGACCTTTTTTTCCTGGGAATAACTTTATACTTGCATGGCTGGATCCACATTAAGTGAACTGAGCGAGGGAGGTTCTTGGAATTATGAGACTTACAGTTTGCTGAAATCTGCAAGCCTTCCAGATTTGCTTATTGTTATATAGTACTTCCAATTAACTAATTTAACCTACGATCTTTAATAAGTATTCTTTATGAATTCTTCAACCTCCTCATCGTACTGATGCGTATGATAATCTACACAAGACTCTGCAAAACAGCTTTTCCTTAGTTACTTGAGCTCAAACTCTGGCTAGACCAGCTTCAACATTATGTTTTATAATCATTTTACAACCGGTGTGATATTTAGAATATGACCAAAAGTTGCTTCATCGTTTCTGTTTTTAGGGAAAGTTTGCCATGGCCACAACGTATATATCTCAGCTGCTGCTGCTCGTCCTGCTGCCTCTTCGTCCTGGATTTTTGTTTTTAGTTTCAGGCGTGGGCGGCAAAAGTTGGTAGCAACGCCACATGGCAGATGTGTTTGGTTGGCTGTTGTTCTTCGTTTCTTTTTTTTATAGTGTTGGCCATAAAGTACTTAAAAGTTTCATTTTACGCCTATTTTGCCGGACGAGAGAACCATTATCGGGGCAGCCCGGGGAAAAGCGGGGGAAAGCACCACCAAGTGACCAACTGACCTGGTCGCAGCTCCACTGAATTCCTCTCCCGCCGTTGGCTGGCAGAAATCCAATTTGCCAACATTTTAACAATCATTGCCGTTGGGCTCTTCAGGAACTCATATTGTGGCCATCCACTTTTAATTGCTTGCCTAAACAAATAATATTTGAGCAGCAGTTTTCCGGGAGGGTTTGGGACCTGGGCCTGGGCTGTTGCCACCAATTAATGTCTGGCCAAGAGCGTAAAGTGGATTTAAGTCAGCCTAAAAGGTCAAGGAAAGGGGGGCCATCTTGGCCAATTGGGAGGCAATTGCTCGTCAGATCGTCGAGGGTTTTTAAGCCAGAATGTTGTGCCTATCAATAAGCCAGGCTGACGAATGTCATCATCATCAGCACTTGGGTGCTCCCTTCGTCGTAGTAAAAATTTTAATAACTGTATTCTGCAGAGGACATTCAATGTCCTGGGCCAGCTTGTTTATATTTCCTTTTGCCAAATTTTGTTTTTTTTTTATTTTGTTAACAATTTATTTTATTTACTGTTTTTTTTGTAGCACAACCCCTCTTCGGTTTGGCCTTTCGCCGTTTGCGCGTTGCTGCTCCACTTAAATACAAAACGTCTGCCCGCCTGCTAATGGCCTTTCAGTCAGGCAAAATGGAAAATGGCTGCGGAAAATGGGGGAGAGGTCGGGTTCGGTTTGGCGGTTCTCGGAAACTATGAGTGCCTCTGGCCCCAAGTGGGGGAAAAAACGGAAAACTGATAGCTGCAAAGTCTTGGATTCTTTTGGCGAGCAGCAGCTGATCAATGCTGCCACCGCTCACTCCTTCTGCCTCCTTCGGGCCACTTAAAAATTGTGAGGCAAAATTTATCGTGATTAT